GGGGGGGCGGCATGGTGGCACAGGGACACGGCTATTCCCATCAAAAAGACCAAGGCGAGAGGCGAGAGCCCGAGGACGGGACGCGCACCATCTGGTTCTCGCACTTGAGGAAAACCTCCAGGCCAGTCTGCGTGCTGAGGGCCTCGGACCGGATGAGTGGCGACACGCCGAGCAGCGGCGAGATGGCCTCGTGGACGCCCTCGACCGATTGGAGAAAGTCGTCCAGCAGCTGGTCAGCATCAGTGGAAGACATGGTGATGAAAGGAGATTGAGCCCAGACCGGGGGAGGGGCGGGAGGGGGGGGGGGGAGAGGCAGGGGGCAGGGGGTGGCTATGCCGATCGATGCCTTCCCCAAGCCGGTGGGGGCTTTGTTTTCCACGGGCGGGAGAGGGGTCGTGTGCGGCGGGGGTGCGCCCTGCGGGGCGGCGAGCGATGCGTCGAGCCAGCTGCCAACGGACACTCCTCGATCGGACCCCGGCCGCACTCCCCTCTCTCTCTCTCTCTCTCGCTCTCTCTGTGTGGCTCTCTCTTTCGGGCCCCCTCCGTTCGGTATGAGGAAGAGCAGGGCGCAGGAGGGTGCCCGTCTGTGCACTGGGGCTCGGGGGGAGGGGCAGCAGGGCGGGACGTTATGCTTGGGGTGGGCGTGTATTTGGTTGCTGGCAGGGCAGGGAGAGAGGGAAAAGAACATGTATATGTGTGTGTGTGTGTGTGCGTGTGCTCATGGCAGACTGGGAGGCAGGCTGGGGGGGGGGGGGGGGGCGGCGGGGAAGGGGGACGCGCAGGGCGCACGGCGCCCTGCGCAGACTGTCCCCTTGCACGTGCGCGCGCGCGCGCGCGCGCGCTCATGCTCACGCGCCCGGCTCCTGGCCGGGCACAGCAGCAACACCACCACACGCCGGCCGCCCGTGTGTACCATATAGCAACATCGCACGAGGTGCATCTCCCTCGGTGGCATGCGCCAGCCGGGGCCTTCTCTCCGCCTCGGCCTGGACGACCGGACGCCACTGACCACCAACACCACGGGACACGCGGATCGCCCTCAATGCATCGGGGCAGCAGGGAGAGTGGCAGAGGATGAGGAGGAGGCGGCGGCGGCGGCGGCAGCGCTGCCAGCGGCGGCGGCGGCGGCCGCCGCACGCTGCTGCTGCAAGGACAACTGGCGGTAGTAGTTGTTGGTAGCCAAGCGGATCATCTGGAAGCTGATGATGATGGACTTGATGTTACCAGAGACGAAGAAAATGAAGTTGGTGTCCGGGCCGGGGGGCGAGGCGTCCGGGGTCAGGGGGAACGGGCCGTCGATCTTGGCTTTGGAGGTGTTGGTGATTTCGTTGAGGTTGGCGTGGGCCTTGCCGATGACCCGGCCGAGGCATGCGTATGGAACCTCCACCTGGGCGCTGATGACGTCCACCTTGAAGGAGTCCTCCATGCACCGGGCGATCAGCTGCAGGGCGTTCGGGATATCCGACTGGTTGCCAGTAACAATGACACGGTTGACTGTGTGTGTGTGTGTGTGTGTGTGCGTGTGTGCGCATGATGGGAGTAGGCGCGCGAGGGGGAGGGCGATGTTAGCTTGTTGGGTCGGGCCGAGGTTGGCACAAAGCCACCGGAGCCGGGATCGGGCCGAGGACAAGGGTGCCGGGAAGAGAGGGGGAAGGGAGACACGGACGGTCGGGGAACTGCGAGCTGTTGATCTTAATCCGGGTGGACGTCTGCCGGCCAATGCTGCGCACGACGTCGCCATTGTGGCCGATGATGGACCCGACACACTCCCGACGGACCAGCAGGGTGATCGAGTCGGAGGGCAGCCCCGAGCCGGCGGCAACGGCCGTCGGCGACCCGGTGGCAGGGGCGCCGGAGGTACCCGGCGCCGAGGTGGCCTGGCTGGTGCCAGGCATAAAAGGGGAGGTGCTGCGGCGGCGGGTGGAGCGAGCCTGGAAGGGTGACCAAGGACCCGGTCGGTCAGAGGAGGGCACCTGCCAGGACGGGGCAAGAAGGGAAGAGAGAGAGAGAGAGGGCCAGGGGGAAGAAAGAGGAGGAGAGAAGAGCACAGGCCCCCCATGGCTGGAGGGAGAGCCGGGGGCAAGGGCAGGAGGCCAGCTGCTCGACGTACAGTCACACGGTCCGCCCCACGGGGAGGCGCGGCACTAATGAGCCGGTTCACCGGGAAGGAGAGCAGCGACCGGGGGACGGACTTGACGAAGCCGGTCATCTCGAAGAGGCTGGCCGCAACGGCGAGCTGCTTCTCCACGCTACCGGTCACGGCCACCACCACCTCCGAGGAGTAGGCATCGCGGTACTCCGGCGCCAGGGCGATGTACACATCAAAGTCGTGGATCATCCTATTGGAGGGTGAGAAGCACGACCGAAGGGGCCCGACCGCCGGCATGGACATCGATGATCGCGCGGCAGAGCCGCCAAAGGGGCAGGAGCCGAGATGGGACGGATTAGGGGACACCCATGGAAGTGGCGAGGAAGCGGGCAAAAAAAAAAAACAAACAAACAACAAGGACCCGCGAGATGCAGACTGACGCACCGGCGGATGTGCGCGCCGCGCGAAGCGAAGATCGGGTTCGACGGGAGGATCAGCTTCAGCGGCATGAATGCCATACGGTTGAAGGTGGCCGTGGGGGTCTTCTCCTGCTCCAGCTCGTGGAGGGCTACATATGTGCATATTTGTGTGTGTGTGTGTGTGTGTGTGTGTGTGTGTGTGTGTGTGTGCGTGTGTGTGTGTGTATCCAAAGGGTCAGAAGAAGTCGGGTGGGGAGAGCAAACTGAGGAAGGGCCGGCGGAGCGGAGGGGGAGGGCGGGGGGGAGGCGGGGGGATGCCGTGAAAAGGGGCAACCACACGGAAGGCCCCCTTCCCCCTCGCCCTCGACCCCCCCCCCCCCAGGACCCGGTGTGCGTGCGTGCATGTGCGCGAAGTGCCCGGGTTTGCGCCAAGGAGGTGGACGCACTGCTGTTCTGGATGTTCTCCAGGATCATGCGCAGGGCCGCGAACATGGCCTTGTCGGCCTGGCTGCCGGCCGGCTCGCTGGCCGAGATGGTCACCAGCCGGTCAAGGGCCCGGTTCCCAAAGACATTGTTCTCCGGCTTGCTGCCGACATTGATCAGGGTGCCGGTGGAGGAGACGATCTTCTGCACGGTCAGGCCATTCCGGCCGATCAGCGCCCCGACATAGGGGATCGGCAGGAGGAAGTGGATCTGCTTCCGGGGGGGGGCGTCCTTGGCCGCGGTGGCGGAGGCCTCCGACATGTCGGACAGATTGTCCGTGGAGAAGGTCTCCGGCTCGGAGCCGGCGGCCATGGGCGGGGGGGTGCCCGCTTGCGGGGGAGTGCCGGCGGTCGCCGGCGGGGGGGTGCCCGGCGAGGCCATGGCCGCGGTTGTCGGGGAGGCGGTCACGGTGGGGGGGATATCGATGGGAGAGGCGGTCTCGGGCATGCTGTCCTTCAGAGCTCGGGAGCGGCTGGCGGAGCGAGGGATGGGCGGGGGGGGATGTGTATGGTCAGCGGCAGAGGCGGG